GGGGCGGGTGGACAAGGGAACACTCGGGAAGGAAAAGCACCGAGAAATCCCCCTTTTTTTCCCCTCACGCATTTTCCTTCACTCTCCTTCCATCGCCACCGAAGGCGTTTCTCTCGAGGCTCAGGCTAAAACCCGTAGCTTTCTTCTCTTTTTCACAGCGCTGAATAGGAACGCAGAGGATGTAATGCAACCTTGGGAGGCTCATAAGTGTTTTGTGGGGTTTTTTAATTTATTTATTTATTTAACTGAGCAGAAAATGCTTACGGAGCTAGCACAGCTCCACCTGCAGCTGATAAGTGAAGTCGGGCCAGAACATCTAAGCGCCTGATGGAACAGGTTTAGGATTAGGATAAATCAGTGGGAGAGGCCTCCAGCTGCAGGGAGGTCACTGCCACCCAAATCCCTTCTCTCACAGCTGAGGTTAGCTCTTCCTTTCCAAGGGAAAAGAAGAAGAAACAGGAAAACTTGAAAGAAAAGAGTGCGCCACAGGGGCTAAGTTGAGTGTTTCCCAGGATACACTGGTTTCCCAACAGAAACAAAACAGGTCACATGCCAGAAAGGCAGTTCTAGCTGAACTTATCAAGAGCACCCACCTAATTACAGCATGAAGTCTGGGGACACAAAGGTCAGCATGTGCTGTTCACAATGTGGCAGAGCCAAGCTGCTTTCGTCTTACAACAAACAGGGAAGAAACCAAAGGGGAGGCCGCACCTGCAGCTTCAGGACCATGAGAATCACAGAATCATAGAATGGTTAGGGGTGGAAGGGACCTTAAAGGCCCAGGCTCTGAGAGCATGACTTAGAGCAGTTCTGCTGAGGGAAGGGAGGAGATGAGAAAACAACCTGCACAACTTGATGAACAAGGAATTTGAATTTTTATTCAGAGGTAGGGCTGCTATTTTCAGCAGCAAATGCAGCTGGGATGCAGAGACTGAGATGGACAACAGCAGCATACTGTCTTGCCCTGCAATACCACAGTATGAGCCTGTCCATGTCAGCCAAGGATAACTCTCCTCTCCCCCAGCCCAGACATGTACACCTAAGCTGCCTTTCCTTTGTTTACCACAACAGGATTTAAAATCTAGATGTCTTCTTTCCAGTAATGACACACAAACATGAAAGACCAGATACTCCCAGCTTTCCTCCTCCCCCCAGTATCAACCCAAACCAAAAGTGTAAGGGAATGTGCACTTCCCACTATACCAGGCCATGGGACACAAAAAAGTATTTAGAAGCTCTGCTTGCAGCCACCAAAGCAGAACACAAGACAAGAAAACACCATGTTCTGGGAAAAAAAAAAAATAAATTACAATCCAGGCTTCATCCCGAAGGAACCGTTCGGCCACATCAGTACTCTGCAGTCTGCAACAGGCTTCCCAGTCAAAATGGACATGAAATGACTTTGCTGCAGCCGCAGTTCTGTAACTGCATCCACCAGCACTGCCAGCTCTGAAGCCTGGTTTTCTGAAGTGAAGCCCTCACTGCCTCCCTGGTATTCAAAGGATAGATGGAATTTCTACAGACCGTTCAGAATCAGATTATCTGGAAAGCATAAGCATGTTGGCTATTTATTAACCTCTTAGCAGCTACCACCATGCCCAAAATTAAGAACTGGGGGTTGCGTACTTCAGCCTAGAGAAGCCCTGCTGGTATTACAGAAGCCTCACTTCAGTGAAGCACCACCTTTCTAACTTAGAGAAACCTGCTGAAACACTTGAACCAACTACAGGGTACAACGAAACTGGGAAGAATCATTTAACACCTACATCAACAGAAGAACACCCTAAACTGACCTTCAGGTTACATTCCCTTGGATAAGGCTGCGTATCATATGATGATACGCGAGTTTTCACTGGGATCTGCTGAAATACAAACAAACAAGAAACACAGTACAATCTCAGAACAAGCTAGACTAGAATTCGCAAAAACCATCCAGAGGAAGACGATCAGTTCTTCTTAATGGGAAAGCCATCTACTGAAAAACAAAAACAGCAGGTAAATTTTGCACGTACACACTCAGACTGAAACAAAAGGAACATCAGCAGTTTTAGCAGCCAAAAAACCCACTAGAAGCTTTAATAGCTTTGCTGTGTACTGCAGAAGTACACCAAAGAGTGAGGTTTCCTAGCTTCCAGAACCACGTGAAAGGAACGGCTACAATAAAATACAATACAATCTCTGTGCAACAAATCCCATCTGGTAGTCTTTTTTAATTAATTCAATGAACTCAATTTTGAGCTATCAAATCATCATTTAGGAGTACAGACTCCATGCGTTTCTTCATGTCTCTCAAAGCACTGCTTTAGTTATGCCTTGCCCCATTCATTTATCTTTAAGGTTTTACTATGCGGGTTATTAATGTCACAGAAGGCTTCCAAGCAGGGACACTGGGTACTGATCAAAATTTAAGAAAACAGCCATTTTTTAATGCTGCACTGAGTAACTTTTATAGCATCACAGTTCCCGTTAGCTGCTGCCTCCCATTAGGTTTAGAAGCCAGGACAAGGTGAAGCGCACCGTTCAGGTAAACGTGATAGCGGCTCACTGACAAGAGTAATATTCAGATATTCAACTCTGGGCTAAGTCTGCCCAAGGGAAAAAGCAAGACTATATCATGTGTTCCTTTAAAGCTGAATTTTAAGTTGCAATACATTAAATACTCTGCTTGACATAAAAGTGTGATCTACAACTCGGGACACTTCATCAGCTTGCGAGAACGTGAGGCTCCAAGGTAGTATTTTTCAGTGGACACTTACCCTTCAGGAAAAGGGCTGAAGCTAAACATGGAGTTAGGGTAGATGAGCTTTGAGCAGAGTCATCTTTCTTAAAGATATGACATGCTTATTTCTTACTAAGGAGCGGCGAGATGTTTTTCCCATTACTTCCTAACAGCATGGCTGTTTCACAGCTCCCTCTTTACGAAGGTAAAAACGGTTATAGGTCATCACCTCTTTAGCAAAAGAGCAGAATAATACTGTCGTAGGAACAACTACGAATGTAAAGCCCTCACATTGTTTAAATAAACCCCCCACACACTTGACAAGGAAAGTGCAGCCCATTTGAGGCTATTAAAACCTTACTAACTGAAAATACCTTCAGGTGTAAGGTTTTCTTAACGGGTGTAAGTCCATATCTGCAGTCCTGTTGAAGTCAGTGGGTAGGTTAATGTGAAGACACTTAAACTTTATTTTATTCATAGAGGCACTTGTAAGAGTTCATGGGGCAGTCAAATGCCAAACATAGCGCTACACTAATCCTCTCCAAGGAAACTTGGCCAAATGTGTGTAGTGGTTGAGATTCTTTCACGCTCTTCATCACTGCGGGAGGTATGATCCTATGCTGTATGTAAAATCCTACCCTACGTCTCCACACATTTAACCGTCTACAATCATTCTGAATGACTTTTCTGGTCACCTCCCAGAACAAGGGCTGAGAGGAACGACCTGTAAGCATCTGTTTGTATATTTAATGGATCTAGGGAAGCCTTTCTAGCCCAGGCTTCTTTCTGCTTCACCTGAAGGGAATCAGTCTACTTCCTTCACAGTTCTACTGTGCAGCACACAGCTATTCAGTTCAAGGGAAGGCTGCGTTACGGTTTCCTGGTGCACTACAGCGACATGTGCATCGGCACCTGACCAGAATTTGGTCTGATAAGCAACATCCACTGGGTTAATTTACATATACCTGAACACCTAAAACTATCAGCATAAATACTACTTATCTTGGAAGATGTGGTATTGATTAGACCCAAACCAACTCCTTAACATCCTTGGAACAGGAGCTTTGAGACCAAAACCAGAGCACGGAGAATTTGGTGCAGTTTGGGGAAGAAAGATTACAGAAGAATGAATATCATGCAACTGGACAGATTGTGGCTGTGGGCAAAAGGGAAGCTGGAGCATGGCTAAGAATGTAGGGGACAGAACAGGAAGCCTGCTAGTGGCACTGCCAGTGGCCTTAAAGCATGTGGAACGCCAGGGTTAGGAGGAGACCAAAACAAGCACCAGCTCCAGGGCATCTCACACAGGAGAACGTACACACCCCACCTTGAATTCTGGGCTGTGCTCATAGCACGTGCTGCTTCCTGCAGCATCCAGTGCTGCGTCATCACGCAGGATGTCTTTTAACATGACAAATCTAACAGACTGACAAACTTATTCTTTTAGATTTCTAGTCCAGAACCGAATCTCATACATAAGACAGAAATCGTCCACTTTTAAACCAAAACTGAGGCTATGCTGGAATGTCTTTAGGAAATGCTACACAAGGACCGGCCATTAGGTGTCGCCTTTGTCCAGAATATGTACGATGGCGTTCTCCACGAAGTTAGTAAATTTGTGTAGCAAAACCCCACCACCACACCAAGTTTCATAGAGTTGGTAGAGGCAGTCCGCAGAGGCAGTCAGCTGCTGTGTTCACCGATGTTCAGCACCACAGCCAGCATTCCTTAGAAACTACTGTTAATGTGGATTCATCCAGGTACTTCTTGCAGAGCTTCATACTGTCACTCATTCATCTAGGCAGGAGACACAGCCACGCAAATTCAAGTGGTTTAATTACTACACACTTCTGTCGGCTAGAATACTCACTTATTTACTCTGCTTCTCCCACCCACAATTGGGGGTCGATCTCCTTAGAACTGCAGAGGTCCTTTCCACAATAGAGTTGATGGACAAGCCGCTTAGGATACCTTTGTTGTTCTTCCTCACCTCCAGCAAAGCATCCACAATTTTGTCTCTGTATTAATAGAAGTAGTAACTGATTACATCACTTTTTATGCAATACACTCAGTTTCCATGGATATCTGATCCATTACAAATCAGGACAGAATTGAAATCCAAATAGCATCACCTGGTAGCCTCTGGATGCATTTCTTGCAGTTTCTTCACTATTTTGGCAAAGCTGCTCAAGTTCAATGTGTTAGGAGAAACAAAGGCATCAAAAGAATTAGTGGAGAAAGAAGCTGATGTTTTCTGCAGGGAATTTTCTCCAGTATCCTGGAATTGCATCAAAATAAGCAAAGAACGAATGAGTATCATGCAAGTAGTACAATGTTTTTACTAGTAATAAGTATTCTTCTTATGGAAAAGAAAATGACAGATTCAGATCAGTAAATTATTCTAATCCAGCTAGTCATATTACCCGATCTGTAAATTAGAAATAAAACTACTACATGTGTTTGTGCATAACTGACATTCCTGCAACATTAAATTAGATCCAATTTGTATTTCCCAGAGGGCTAGCATGTTTACAATTAAATTCCCCCAAATATGCATATCTATACAGTTTATGAGAGCAGCACCAGTAATTACTAACTTTGCCTTATCCTCCAAGGGCCAACCTGAGCAAATAAAAAAAATACATATTTATACATATGATGTTTCTTTAGATTTATATTTAGAACTCAGGAATTTCTCCTCTAATATCCCAAAGTCTTTCCTGTGTAAAAAAAAAAAAACAACCCAGCCACACACACCAAAACATTCACATAAAAGAAAGTGTTGGAAGTGGAAACTCAAGAGAGGAGAAAAGCAAGATGAAAACTGTAGTGCAAGTGGCTAGGTGCCCAACGGGTTTAGGATTATGAACAGGATGGATTAAGAAAAAAGATGGAGTCTCACCATATAATGAGGGGGCAAATGAATGCTGCTCTCTCTCCTGCAGCGTGCCAGAAATTTACTACTGACATGTAACATCTTTTCCTACCCTAACACCACTGTACATATACACTAAGTCTTAAAACTCCTTGTTCCATAGCACGTTACACTTAATCTGCCATATCAAGGAGCCTTAGTCATAATTGTTTACCTTTTGGTTAACTGGAGGTAGCAAATCTTCAGCAGACGATTTCAGACCTGGACACGCTGTTTCTGAAGGTACTTGCGTAAAGCAAGGCGTTTTTGAAGAAGGTGTGGGAAGGAGATGCATTGTGTCAGCAGCAGAGCTGGCGTCAGGTCCTTTCGCAGAACTGGAGGCCGAAGCGAGCGCTTTCTCGTTATTATCTCTTTGACTGTTACCAACAGGTTCGATTTCAGGCCCAAACTTATTTGTAAGTATTTGGGAAACGATAGATCTGTTCTCTGATGAGTTATTTACAAGTTCAACACTTATTGGTTTTCCTTTTATTTTTTTCTGGTCCATTTCCTCTGCTGCTAACTTTGCTTTATGAGTCTCTTTAAAGCAAAGGAATGCGTATCTAAGACAAGAAAAATCCAACACCACTAAGTAAAACACACATTACTCAGTAAGAACTCATTCTGGTGGTTCTCATTTTCTATTAACTGTATCTCAATTCAACTCAACAGAAAATGGGACTGCTTAACTTCTCGTAAGATAAGCTGTCTAGAATGACACGTTTCTGTCAACCTATCTGCACACATGATTTACTGAAACAAAACAGATTAATGTACCACTCCCTCCTCTCTCCCATGACTCACTTTGACAGCAGAAAAATCTGAAACAAGTCGAACTTATATTCATATACCTGGAGATGCCAGAATCCACACAGATAATGTGAGAAACCTGATACTCCTGGAAACATGATCTTAAATCACCCTGCGAAATAGAAGCGTATTTTAGTTGCAAAGTACACTTGGAAAGAATCCAGAAAAAGGCAAGATACGACTGCTGCTATGTAACTAAGGCATACCTCTGTCACTGAGGAACTTAGGCCACCAACACGAATAAAAGAACACTCATTTCCACTCTCCATTATCTTTGCTTCTAATAAAAAGCGTAAGAAAGCAAAGTGTTACCATTCTTGTTTCAGTTCAAGCTAACGTCATCTCCGCAGACTTCAGAACACAGATATAAAACATTGGAAGAGGCAGGAGAGATACCACCAGAGAGAACCCCGTTCTGAACTAACAGGTCCCGGTGCGGAAGCAGGGGTGGCGTTCTGTGACACCCCAGCACACAAGCTCTCCGCTTCCCACGTGGCAGGACTCTAACCATGCCCCTCACAGGGGGCCGGGTCTCCAACGCTGCCCATTCCCAGCTAACTCTTAAGAAGTCGGTATGGGGAAGCAGCGGAAAGAGGAGGAAGAGAGAAAGACTTCCAGCTACATGATGGGCTGGGCATGTACCAAACTGAGTTTAACCACTGCAGGTAAAGTTGTCAAGGAAAAACATGGATGTAAAGAGCTGAGTATCTGCACAAGCATTTGCTGCAAGTCAACAAAAACATACCTGAGAAACCCAGTTAGCACTTTTTTGAGTTGACTTCTGTTTGCAGAAGGAACAGAACACTCAAACACCATTACTAGCTATGGCAGCTTAAAGCACACGGCTTCACCTCTTAAATCAACTGTGTCTTGTTTTTCTCCTTGCTTTTTCGTTTCTTCAGGTATTACCAAAAGTTCTGCTACTGTCAATTCGTCTTTAGCATCAAACCAACAGTCATTCCCTTCTTCATTTTTCACACAGCCTTGACAGTTGAAATAAAATTCAGTGTGTTAAAATTCAGACTGTGGCATGTCTTACGAACGAATATCAAAGTTTCAATACTTAAGAGGGATTCCAGCTACCTACCCGACGTGGTACTACGTTACTAAGTGGTGACACATGCTAGTTTTCATGTCCAATTTAAGTAGCAACATCTTTTTCCAAGAGGTAAAGTATAATATAGAGCCAATTTAAGGTTAAGCATTCCCTCGCAGAAAGGAGTTGAGCATCCACACAGGGCTTCTTCCATTCCCAACAACTAATTGAACGTTTGTACTAGCAGCAGATCGCTTACCGTGTTCCACGTCCCGTTCTTTATCTCCTTCTTCCAGGGTCTCAGAGGAAGCAGAGTCGCTTGGCTGACGGCCGCCAGTGAAACATATGGCCTGCAGATCATCCTACAAACGTGATTCAGTTATGCCACAGCACTTGTGCCTCTTTACGCCTGATTTTTCTGAGCTTCAGAGTATTAATTGATTAAACAAGTAAGTTTTTAAAAAGTCAACCTACTGATCACCTTTAAGAAGGCCCGAACTATTTTATTTTGAAAGGGCAATCAAAATTCTGGTCACATCAGCTGCATTTGCGATTGCTGGCAGAGAATCCCTGCTTGAGCCCTGAAGACTGTGACTGTGTTGGCACATACCTAAGAGGAGACTACGCTTCCCAACATTAACATCTATGAAACTCAGTGATGAAAAAGTCCCTACCATGTTGAGAGAAATTTTCCTTTCTTGCAGTTTTGGTGCTTCAAAGTCGGCTTTTCTTGTGCCTGAAACAGAACTAACACAGACCCAAGGATTTTGTACAAAATACAACACACCCATTTCAAATTTTACTGAATACTTTGAAATATTAAATATTTCCAAAAGCTCACAGTAGAATAAAGAAAATGGGCTTAATAAACCTTGGTTTAAAATGAGAACCTAACTTTCTGGGATACCTGCATTTTAATGAAGCATTGGCTGCAACCTGAAATATAAAGCTGTGTTTTAAGTTTAGGTCAGGTTAGTTCTCCTTGGTACTGGCACAGCTCTCTGTGTGATGTTTTGATGGAGACCTGAACAATCTGAAAATCTCTGTGCAATTTTTGGTTAATCTTACTAATGCCTAACAAGACATTTGAGCAAGATCTCCAGTTGTGTACCTGATGCAGTAAAAACTTACTGCCAAATTTATTTTAATCTCCACTTAAAGTAACTGGATGCGGTCCTTGCGCATGCAGTACCATACGCCTGGCTGAAATAAGTTACTTTTTTAATCATTCTTCATAACCAAATGACAACCTTTGCAGAACAGCTGCTTATATGCCTAATATTCTTGTTGGCAGCAAAGTATTTTTGTGAGTTTCTTCTGCTTGTCTGGGGTTTTTTTTGGTGGTTTGTTTGTTATTTTTACTTTTAACACACATAGCATTAAGACTAGACACGAAGATTTTAGTAGTGAAAGTAAGGAACCAGGAAAATTACCTATAAATTGAAAGCCTTTTCTACTACTACTAATACTACTCCACAGTTCTTATTCTGTAATGTTGTAGTATGCAGATTTCCTGAAAACAAAAATCACTGCGCCCCAAAACTATGCGAGTCTGTCAGCTAAACAGTTTGGAGCAACAAGACACATCGTGAAATATAGAATTTCTAAGTTTTACATCTTTTAAATTAACTTCTCGCTTATTTTGAGATTTAATAAGTACCCCAAATGAGGACTACTTACTCATAGGAAAGATCCTCTCTGAACAGCTGTCAAAAAAAAGATTTGTCAGTTTTCTGAAGAAAACAATTTATATTAAAAGCAAAAAGCAATTAAGAAATTACCTTGCTCGGGACATAAGAGGAGGAGATTGGGAACAACTTCAACTCAACTGAGAGCGGTGGAAGTGCATTTAAAGGTATGCCTGTTTTTATTTTCATTCTCATATTGCTGTAATTCTTTTTTAGCTCTTCCAAAACCAAGATGACAGACAAACCTAATTCAGTACTTCCATTACATCTGTTAAAATTGTAAGAAAACAAGATCAGCTTAGCCAGGCGTTTCGTCCATCTGACTGCTTCCAGAGCTGCTCAATCATTTTTCAGCGTTTAAAGACCCCTCCACATCCCACAAGAACAGGAGCTCACTCCTGGTTTTGCGCAGCAGCTCTTGGGAGCCGTATTCCCTTTCACAGCATTACTAGTGCTCTTGAGCCCCCTCCTAAACCACGGAGCAGACCCTACAGTTGTGAGGTTTTACAGCTACGTGTGGCACAGCAAAGCCTTCAGAGGCAGGAGTTGGCCGAAGTCCACGTTCGTTACAGAGCGCGTGCTTTATCAGCTAGAGCCTCTGCAGCTGCCACCCCATTCCTGCCTCACCTCCTCTCTTTCTCCTTCACCAACCTCCTCCCCAGGTCCCCCTCTATGCATCTCATCCACTCCCAAACTATTCCTTCTGTACAGAAGGACGTTCCTGGAAACAAACTGTTTTTCACTGGGTCTGTGAGTGCTGCTGAAAATAAAAAGACTTGGCAGTTACAAGAATGCAAACTTTTGGACAACAGTACTAACTATAAATGCTATTACAAGCTACGGAGAGCATACATCAGTAGTATTTAGCAATTACTGCCTTTTAACCAAGTTATAATTTCATTTAAAAGGACATGCCTGCTAAAACATGTGTCTTCCTCCAAAGCCAGTTTGTAGATCTTCAAGCAGTGCTGATAGCACATCTGGTAATGAATGTTTAGAACCTGCAATTCTGCTTCAATCGCTCTCTGCAGCATTTCTTGACAGTAGCTTAACACAGAATTCTTCACAGCTTGTTTGTCCAGGTGTAACAGCCTTTAAAACAGTAAACAAGATCTTGAAGGCCTCAAATCAACATGTTACATTCATTATGGTTTATTCTGAAACAGGTTCGCTCTCCAGAAGCCATTTCTGATGCATTTTAAGGAAAAAAAATCAGTTCCTGCTATTTATTACACAGGAGGTAAGGATGCCTTACAGTAGCTATACATTATAATCAGCCTCAACCGAGAGGTGGAAACTCCATGACCACTTCTATCCCAAAGTGCGGTTGCAAGAACAGAAACAAACTTTGCGACTTACACAAATGTAAGACGCACTCATAGAATGATGTAGATTGGAAAGGATCTCGGGAGGTCTGCGTAACAAACCTCTGCTCAAAGCAGGGCTAACTTCCAAATTAGCTCTTGCTGTAAGAAACCTTTCCTTACACCCACTTAGAATTCCCCTCACTGGAACTGCTGGCTGTTGCCCCTGCAAAGAATTTAACTCCCTCTTCTTGGCAACCCACCACCAGATTGCCAAGAACTGCAGGGAGGTTCCGCCCTCCCCTTCTCCAAACCCAGTTCCCTCTGCTCTCCCCACACATCAGGTACTCCCCCAGCTCCCCTCGTCGTCTCCGTGGTCCTGTCATGGACTTCCCCAGTCTCTTCCTTGCACTACCAGGCCCAAAGCTAGAGATACCATTCCAGATGCAACCTCACGAGAGCACCAAGCAGAAGAATCAACACTTCACTCCCGGTAATGCAGCCCCAGGGTGGGGCTTCCCTTCTTCACCATAAGGGAGCGCTGCTGACTTCCCCTCGGCTTGTTCTTGGCCAGCCTGCAGTGCAGACCAAGGCTGATTCGGTCTGTGCTAGACTTCAGGAGGTCTTGCCCAGGTCCCTCTGAAGGCAGCCCTACCCTCCAGCACAGGAGTCACTGCCCAGCAATCTACCAGTACCATCCCTTTCGCCGAGTCACGGAAAACCTTTCAATCATGAAAAAAAAAAAGTTATCCAGCATGTAGAATTCCAAACCAAGAACAATTCGTGACCCACCTGTCAGTGCTGATCTTGAAATTGCTGCTACAATGCTCATTTTTTGATTGCCACTGTTCCTAAATAAAAAAAGTTACAGCTTAACATTTGTATAGACAAGTTGTGAGCAACTTAAAAACATCCACCAAGCAATTTTGATACACACAACTGTTTTTAAGTTAATTACCTGAATTTGTGAACTTCTTTCAGCTGTTGCAGCACTGCCATCCGAGTGGTTTTGCAGCATGTCAGTAAGCTGTGACCCAATTTCCTCTCTATTACCAGCTCCACACGACCAGTCTGTATTGCAAGCAATGTCTGCACAGGTCTGGTGGTGCCATCCCACGGGCCGAGATTTGTTCATCATCGTTATCTCTGTATTCATAGCCCTGGACGAGAGATGAACCTGAACACCAGTGCTCCTGCTTGTTGTAAAGCAAGCTCTAAAATCAGAGCCCGCATCAACAGCCTGGTTAACCATAGAGTTACTGGTCACGGTTTTCAAGTTTTCATGATGCTCCAACTCTGAGTTCAGACAGCCGGTACCTCCACGGGATGACTTATCTGCAGCTTCCACCTTAAAAAAGGGATTCTCGCTAGCACAAACTGATGAGGCTGGAAACAGGGTTTCAGCATCCTTGGCAGCGTGGTAAACCCAGCCGGTACCTCGTGCGCACACACTGGATTCCTCACAGCTGTAGAAATCGGAGTCCCCTGCAAGTTTGCAGAGTGGCGCGGCTACCGCAGGGGCCCTTTGCTGCGGTGACAGTAACCGTTTGCCTTGCTTTGCTGAGAGGCTGTGGGTGTGTCTGTCACCGTTTTCAGGCACTTCGCCTGTAGCCGTCTGTGGCAGCGTGCCGTCAATCAGCGAGAGGTCCTTCACCTCTCCGTCTTCTGAACTGGCACATACAAGCAGATTTAGACACACCCTTTCTTTACTCCCACAAGAATGACTTTCAAGTATACTTCCACAAACAACGCTGTGATACTCCGTTTGCTCTTCCTCCTCATCACAAGTCATGCTGTTGCAATCTGGCAGAGACGGAGAGTCCTGAAGCAGGTGGAGAAGCTCTGGAATAGCTGCTTTGGGGCAGGTTTGGTCACCTATACCACGCTCAGAGCCAGAACAATCTTCTGACACGCCAACGAGGTTCTGTTCCTCTGTGCCTCCACCCCCTGGAACTTCACGAACGGGATCCATCAGCTTTAAGGTTTTGATTCCTACGGTTTCGTTTGCCCAGAAGACTCGCTTGAGCTGTGTCTATCACCAAAATCCTGCTCGTCTGCACTGAGATACTCCAGCTGGGAATCTTCACTTAAATGGCTTTGCCTGCAATCACCACACCCCCTGCAACCAAGTGCACATCGTCACACACCCTTCCCAGCACATCAGCTTCTTTCCTGCTTTTGTCTACCCGCATGCAGCAAATTCTCTTTCTCTTTTTATTATATGTTTCAATATCAGTTTCTCACCTTAATACAAGTTAAGTTTGAGATACTCTGCAGTATAGAAAAGTATGTCACTGCTTAAAAAAAATACCTTCAACTGACCATCATATTTTACCTACTGCATGCTAGTATAGGAGCTAGGAATTATACAGATTATAGGAATTTAAGAAAAATGAATTAATTTTTCTTAAAAAAAAAAAAAAAGAAAATCCCAAGAGCTCACAGAAGGCTCTTAGAAGAATTTGCTGTTCTTGCTCGTGTGATTTCAGTGGAGTAAAAGCATCCTCAGAGACTAATCAATCCTATTTTTGTACACTCTTGGGCAAAGTTTCCATCCTCTTACCACTGAAGCATTTCTTTGCCGATTCATGAGAATCCCTGTTGACTGAGCACAGAAACTATAAGAAAACCTGAGAATCTTTACAACCAAGAAGCGTAAGACATAAAGGAAAACAGGAAGATGGTTTCTTGGATCAGGGTACCTCTTTTAGCCACAGAGGCAAGATGGATAATACACCCTGCTCCGGACATTCACCAAACCTAGTTTTATGGCAAACATGAACTAAAAGCAGAGAAAAAGCACGTTGGGATGGAGACACTTCGTAAAGCTTGTTTCTTTTAAGTGCTTCTCAGTCCTTCTCTGCCTTCACCCAGAATTCACAACGGGGAAGGATACATGCAAACATTAGAGGTATTTCTCAGTTACACATGCCTTCTAAACTACTGAAATTAAACAATTATTTTACATTTTAGTCTCAGGTCTTTATCATCTTACATAGAGCACAGCACACCCTGTCTAACTCCTTCCCCTGCGAGGGCCGGCCGAGCAACCAACAGGCCCATAAACGGGGTCTCACACGCTTCTACAGAAACCTGCGACACCAGTCCCTGGTGCTTCCACTGGAGAAAGTTTCCAGCGTGGCAAAACAAAGTCCGTAAGGAACAGAGCCAAGTACTGAAGGGAGACACAGGCTGCTGGTGGAGCACGAGGGGAGGCTGCAAACTCGGGCCTGTTTCTTAGCCGCCATTTTGGGATTAGCATACATCTCATGAGAGCTCTGCCTGCCCGGATATGAACAGCGTGACCCCGGCCTCTCTCCTAGGCTCCTCCTCCTCCTCTGCACCGGGACCTGCAGAGTTGGGCCCTAACCGATACCCTCACGACAGTTCCTCCCCACGGGGAAAAACGGTTTGCCTGTCAGATCGGCATTCGCCCATTCGCATCTGCTAAGTATCATCATGCAAATGACATCATTTAAAATCAATTAATAAAAGTAACTTAAATCGCTCAACAAGTCATCACGCCGGCGCCCCCCGCGGCCGTGTCTCCTCAGAGAGCTCTGAGGCGAGGAAGGCAGAGCCCTCAGAGCAGGCCGGTGCCACCGGCTCGCCCACAGGGAAC